ATAATATAATAAATAATGTAATAAATATTATATAATAAATTATATAATATATATAATAAATTATTATATAATATCGTTTTAAATATCTGCAAGTTTACAAATGAATAAGAAACGAACTCGGCGCGCGCGCGCGCGCGCGTGAAGACGCGACGAGATAGTTTGATAACGCGCGGGTGAAAGAAATTTGAATGCGCGAGAAATAATAAATTGCAGCTCTGTGCGATTTGAATCTCTTTCTGTTTTTAATTTTGTTTTCATTTGTGCGAAACAACAAGATGACACGAGATATTGATATATTTTATACGAGCGCGACGTGAAAATATGTATCATCGCATGTCGCCAACGACGCTCGCATAAATTTTACCCGCCGGGTGAGATCCCCTTTTGATCGTGGGTGGTCAACACGCCCCCGTGAACCCTCGGCAGATTTTCTCTCCGAGATAAATTTAATAGGCGAATTTGCATCTTTCTCTCTCTCTCTCTCTCTCTCTTTTTCTCTACGTGCGCCGCATGCACCTTAATCCGCGAGAGGAGAGACGGGACCGATCCGCGAGCTCAAAGAGAACGGGGACCTACTTAATCGTCGTCTGCAACATCTGGAGCCTTTGATGTCGCGCCGCTTAGTAGAAACAATTCTCCCTTCGACTGTGCGCGCACTGAATCTAGGGAGAATTTCTCTGCGGATTCTCTCTCTCTCTCTCTTTCTTGCGTTTCGCCGTGTGCGATTCCGCTCGCGCGCGTTTTCCGTTTTTATTGGCGGATCGTCTGAGCGCTGTAAAAGTGATATATCCCGAACGCGCGATAAAATAAGAACCTACATAAAAACTGAATCGAATTTGCACTTAAATCGAATTATACATTCGCAGAGCTTATATACGCGCATCTTGAAAAATGTTTTTTAAAAAATATTTACACACACGAATATATTTGTGTTACGTTAAATTGTGATAAGCAAAACTCATCGGTTTGTATTTGTTGAAAAAAAATTCTTACTTATATGGTATCGCGTACACGAAATTTCAATCTGCCGCATAGCAAAAAACAACAGATACCGGGTTATCTTATCAATTTGCTTGCGACCGATCGGCAGCGCGTTCTCGGTCAGAGTTTGGACCGGCGGCGCGGAATTTTTACATTGTAACAAGATGAGAGATCTCGACCCGAGTGAATTGATCCGCGTCTCTCTCTCTCTCTCTCTCTCTCTCTCTCTCGAACGAGCGGCTGTTGGAAACAAGCGGATCTATTATCTCGCAGGTAATGAATCAAACGTTACGCAAATGTGTTCGCCGTGTTTATCGTGTTGTTGCGATCGAGAGAGCCGCTCCTACTATCGATTGAGATGTCGACTTCTTCCAAAAGGGATTTATTTATTTCGCTAATGGAGATAGAACAGTTTCTGCGCGCGGGTGACGAAAGCACGCGCGCGCGCGCGCGCGCGCGCGCGTTGTAACATGCCTGAGTTATTGAACTCGCAGGCGGTAGTCTGCAGGATTTTACAGAAGCTCCTTTGTTCTTGGCAAAGAACAACCTTCGCGTGTTGTGCAACATGTGGCAACGACGAAAGGTTAAAACGAGAGACTTCTTCTAAATACATCGGAATTTTTTTTTACGAATCGATCTCTTCTTTGGAAGAGTTTATATAGATTTATTGTTTTTCTCAATTACTTCAAAAAATCTATCAAACAGCTTCTTTTTATTTTCTTTCTCTTTGTGAGATATCGGACATTTTATGAGGACGGGAATGAGATGGGATGGACGAAAGAGATTCGCCATAAAAGTTGCGTCTGGCGCTTTGATCTCTCGACTCGCAGAAAGCGGATTAGAACGTCGATAAATTTAACCGTATCAGGTACATTCCCGAAGTGTACCGCGGGCGCGCTATCGTTAACGAAGGAATCAGGGTCGGTGAAAGGTCAGACGGTTTTAAAAATGGCTCGCGCTTCTTTTGAATTTTGTCTCTATATATATATATATATATATATAATCGGTCGTCTCAGTTCGACGTGAAACGAGTTTCTGAATTTCTAACATCTTTTGTTACCATGTTTGTCACACCTTCCTATCGCTGTAATACTTTTTTGCTGTTCGCGATACTTGTGTTTTTTCTGTCTCGATAAATGTTCGCTCATTCGATTACATCATCGGTGGAATATTTTTCGCGATATTTGAAATCGCGCGGAAATGTTGAAGAAGCACGCGCGTTTCCCGTCGCCTCATCAGCGTCCGTATAAAAATTTTTCGTAACGATGGTTTGTTCATTAAATTTTTCACGAAATCGCGCATTTCACGATAAAGATAACCTTGGCCAGGAGAGCGGCGAGAGATGCACTTGTTACACGTATACGGAACATGCACGATTGCGCTCAACGATTCTCGGAAATCGGCCGGAGCTCGGTCAGACTTTACGAGCGATGAGGGGTCAAAGTTCGGCGCGTTCTCTTCTCTCATCGCCGCCCAAGAGAGAGAGAGGAATTCGTCTGTGCGTCGTCGCGCGAAAGAGGTTGTAACGAGGTTGCGAAAATTGACGATAAAAATTCCGAGGTCGTCGACACAATGTGTTTCTATATTCTATTTTCAAACAACGCTCAAGTATCACTCGTTTGTAACGCCGATAACCGATAACTTTGCTATTTGAAACTAGTTCGCTGCGCGCCGCTTCCGATAGCGTAGGGAAATTGTTTTACCCATTTTCTAAGAGAGAAAGAGAGAGAGAGAGAGACAGACAGAGAGGTGTTTGACCGACTTTTACACGCGGTGGCAATAATTGAATATTGAAAACATTTGTCCCGCGAGTTGTTTATCTTCGTTCGTCGAAGCCGCGAACTCAATCCGCGCGCGCGGACGATTAATCAAGATTACGCTAATGTTTTCAGACGCGGATTCTCTGGTCGTCTCCTATTTTTTTTTCTTTTTTTGTTATTTCTTTTTGTTATCATCAAGCTGCGTTTACGTTTGCGTGTTACAAAACGCGCTCGATACGAACTCTAGAACTGTGTGGAAAAAACGTTTCTTTAAAATTTGAGATCTGATTCTTTCACGTCGAATCGTGAAAAAGCTCGCGTCGTTATCGCGAACGTTGTTTTAACAAAATCAAAAAGAGAAAAAAAACGAAATGCAGCGCGGCGCTGTTTACGCGACCGACGCGAGCGATATTCCGAGAAGACGCGAGCGAGCGTCTGAAAGGAACGCGAACTTTTCGACACACATTTAATTTTATTGGATTATTGATACGTACACACATTTACATGATGACGACTTTCGACACCCCGCGCTTTACGAGGCCGCTCGCGATTAAACATGTATGTAGGCCAATATGTTGGAGGCATTTCTACGCGGTCGTATTTCACATTCCGGTTTTATGTTCGCGCGCGGGACGGAGAAAAGTGCGACGGCATAAATCTTGGAAGGATTTATGGGAATTTAACGTGGAATTTATGTACTCTCTTACATCGACGTGTCATTCTTTCTGGTATTTCATAGATAGCGCGCAGCGAGAAAAGAAGCGTTCGTCAAAGGTATATTACCTACGTATTTACGACGTAATTAAAAACATTTCTCATCAAGCTTAATTGCAAGTAGCTTTTCACAGCATCAGGTGCACAGCGTTCTATGCAAATGTTCCCGTCGAGATGAGTGCGAGCGCAACGCTATCGCGCGAAGCCAATCGCAAAACCCCATCGTCTGTGTAACTTTGCTCACCGCGTTTCCATTGCGCTATTACGTGTTAATTATTCGAACTGTGTGCGCACGGTAATTGGGTAGCACGCAGAGTCGCCACCGCAATGTTTGCGCAAGGCGGTTTGTCTTTGCGTCGAGACACGGCGGTCGACAAATATTGACGGTTTAAAGTCGAGGAGGAATCGGTCGGCCGATTCGACGGGTGCAGTTGCAAGCCAGACCGTCTGACGAAGGTGTAAAAAACGGGGAAGTTGCGGCCTGGAGAGGGAGGAGAACAGGCTGATGAGTAGTGTGTTCGAACGGAGCTGAAAAATGCAGCTCGCGGCATTGAAAAAGTTATATTAGCGCATATTCCGTGGCAGCATCACCTGTTATTAAACATTAGATTCGCCCCTCGTGGCGCTACGTCGGACCACCCAAAAATTCCGGGGCGGTCCGATATTTTTGTCTCGACGCGCGCACGTCGTCGCCGAGTCTGTCGCGATAATTTTTCTTACGGAATTGCAGGTTGTACAAAGGGTTAGCTCCGCTCTGGTTATCGAATTTGCATAACTCATATCCTCTGCAAATGACATAAATCAACACACATCGCGCGAGAACATTCGAAGAATTTGCACGTTTCGCGGTAGATGCTAGCGTAGATTTTATATAATTTTTAATTTTAACGGTTGTATTTAATTTTGAATATAAATTTAAAACTTAAATTAATATAAATTTCAATCCGACTTAAATATTTACGTTGCTATTGTTTCTATTTAATTTTAATTCCAAAATAAATCTGCCTGTCTAATTAAAAGACAAAAAGAAATCCTTTTATGAATAAATTATTAAATTGTTTTTAAAAATACTATGTATATAATTTTAATTTAATTTTGTAAACCAGGCAAAAATTCACTTTTAATCAAACCTGAGATAATCCCGTAGATTTGCTTATTAAAATATCAAATATTTTTTTAATCTAAAATTTATATTTAATTTATACGAAAAATGATTAAATTTTAATTTTTAATTTCAAATTTATGTGAAACTTACGATAATATGCTTTTATGGGAAATAAAATTCTCGCGGTTTGTAAACGCGCGTGCGCGATCGCGCTAATGGAATTGCTTATCTCGGCTTTTCAGTCTCGCGCGGCACGCGCGATGTAATT